AGAATGACTGTGTTTATGTGGAAAGCCTCCTCAACACGGAGCAGCTGTACAAATATATTAGACAGGGTCTGGCACGCTCCAAGGAAAACAAAACTCACAGTCTTGTAAATATATGGGCTTTTGGACAAATAAATTAGGCCAGAGATAAACAAGATGGAATGTGGTAGAAGCGTATTGTTATGTTTTTGAATGAAAGCCGAGGAGATCCTTGGATTAGACCCAAGGGCAAGCTGCCGTTGGTCAGACAGGCTCATAACATGTGCTGGAATCTACTTTAAAGATGTAGGCAAAACTTGGGTAAACTTGAAATAAAAGATGGTGATAAAATACTTCAAATATGTTTATGTTAGTGTACAGCTACTATCTGTGAACAAATGTAAAATCTAAATCAAATCACCACACAGTCACGTAAGTAAGGATGTTCAAAGAAAGAAAAAACAAAAAACAACAAAACAGTGCATACCAGGGAGGACATGCAGACCCAAGCTATTTCTGCTCTTTATTTAGTAGTACATATTTATATGTATATATAACACTGTATTAATATTATAATAATAACATATTTATTATAATATGCTGTGAGCTACTGTGTCCAAATAACTTTCTTTGTGGATCAATAAAGTGTGTCTAAGTCTAAATCCACATCTAGGTTCTGAGAAAAGTTCATTCTGATGGAGGTGCATATTCTGCTTGTCACCTTGAAGATGTTATTGTTTTGCCTGGAATGTTCCACAGTAGTTTTTCAAGGTATTTTTATCAATAAAAACCCTTTAAATAAATCCAACATATATCCTTTTAGTGCCGTTCTTGAATTTCGTTTCATAACACATGCTGTTTTTCACAAAATGTAACTGAGTGATTATTGTGATGTGTATCTCTATTTTCCCCTCAGCCAACTTCCTGGGGATATTTTTAGGACTCATAATAATGGAATAAACTCAAATTTGCTCCTTGTTTTTGTCACTTGCGCCCTTCCGCATCAAAAGCATGCAAATAGCCTGTTACAAACATCAGCAAATGACATGCTATCAGAGTCCATAACACAACAACTGTTATTAGCGGACTTTAAGATTAGCCTAGCAACACTGATGCTGTTACGACCCCAAACCACTTCTCACTGCAGACGCAACTTCACAATCTATTTAATTGCTACCCAGAGGTGTCTGCGGCTCTCACAATAAGTCATCAACAGTGCCGAGATATGCCACAATCATCTTTAATGAAACTGGCTCTTGTCTGTGTCTGCTCCATGTTGGGAAGCACTTGCATTGATTGGTCTCTGATGAGTCTGGAGGGCAGCGGGATGGTGTTGAAAATGTGATTTGTGGCGATCTGGTGTGGTGCTGATTTGTTTACCCTCCGTGGGCCTGTGAAATCCATATATCATGCCGACTACAGACCACAACATGCAGTAAAGAGCTGGCGATGTGGGTCATGAGGAAGAGAGGAGGAGCGGATGCTGCCGGCTGCCAACTGTGGAGGTTTAACTATTGTTTTGGATGCCCATGTTAGTTAGGCATGGTTAGAACAAAGCGGCATGTCTCTAAAGAAGCATTAGGTAACATTTTATTGTACTGTCATGTAGGGATGTAACAATAACTGAAATATTGTGATATCGTATTGTCAAAAGTCTAAGAGTTATGGTGCAGCAATAGCTATAAAAAAGCAGAGAACTACATAGACCATGATTCTTTGCTCCATTTCAGTGTAGACTACAAGAAGAAATAACAGTTCTAAGCACTTTTAAGTCTTAATTCTTTGGATTAAATCTTGTCAAGGCATTTTAAGAGGAAAAAGTAGCATACTAACAATTTTGTTAGCCTCCACAAAATGTCGTAATAAATATCATACTGTGAGATGTAAATCGTGAAAATACTGTACAGAGAGATTTGGATATTGTTACATCACTAATCGTGAGCCTCCCCACAATATTGTGAGCTTTCCGACAATATTGCAATAAATATTGTACCATGAGATTCATACCATGACATATTGTGAGACTTGAATATCGCTACATCCCTACTTTCGTGGTACCCATCTTATTAACAGTCCGGAATTTTGGACATAGGGCCTCATTTCCTAGTGAGCCAGAGTGTTGGAGACGTGTGGGGACACTTTTTTAAATATTCCATCCAGTCCTTGTATTTGTAGAGGTCACAGCTGCTAGGCTAGTGCATGTCAATGGCCATAGTTAGCCTGCCACTAAAAACACTCCACAAAGCACCCGAAGCAAATCTATTATTATGGTTTATTTAAAAAAAAGTTTATCCACACTTCTCCAACATTCGAGCTCACTAGGAAATGAGGTCCCATGTCCAAAATTCCAGACTGTCCCTTTAAAGGTTGTATAGAAGATTTTTTTAAGGGAAGAGAAATACAGCGACAGTCCTTGTGCGCATTCAGAATTACTGTTGAAGTTTCCTGTCTAGAAGTAATTCAGCGACCGACGCGTCAGTTTTTAGACCCTTCGTCTGCTTTGGTCGCGCCATCGCTGGACGAGATCTCCAAGAATCACCTCAGTTTGGCTTTGCTACTTTTCCACTTCTCTTCTTCTTTCAGCGACCTCAAAAACGGACTTTCTTTTGCGGCGAACTGGTCATGGAAATGCGAGGAAGCGACAGTTCGAAAATGCCTCTAAGAACCGCTGCGTAAACCACGTAATCCCCGCGCTCCGACAAGTCAGTTATACTAGGGAGTTTGATTGACAACCTAACAGCGAATAGAAAATGAGGGAGCCTCGTTTTCTATTGGCTGATGTTTATCTGGCCTCAACAAGTCCACAGTTGATAGATTTTCATTCTTTTTTTTTTTGGTCATCATAATTACAAAGCTGCTGCGTCTCTGTAATGGTATTTTAATCTTTCACTGACAGTTTGAAACTAAAAAAAATCCTCCATACAACCTTTAAGTACGATGCATCTAATTGTGTGACTCCTGCTGACCCACTGCACCAGACTCATTCTCCAACAGGCTCCTATAGCTCCGCTCAAACTGTGAGAGATGCAGGACTTACATTCATACCACACTCTACACAACTGTACAACAACTCACCCTGATAACCCTATGTCCTGTCAATCATTATTTCATCTTTGCACTTTTTTCCCTCACAGCCTCTTGTATATAGCTGAAATATATTTATATCAGTATATTTCTCTATTTTATCTTTACTTGTGCTTACAGAAATGGTTACATGGGAATTCTCATACTAGATGGACTATACATCAATTAGGCATTACATGAATTTCATTGTTATTGTGTCTTGTCCACTGGCCAAGACATTAGAGACATAAGAAACAAACTACAATGCACCATATTTTGACACCACACTATTCCTCCAACATATTATCCCAAGTCCAATTTAACTAGCTGGGATCCCATTTATTTTTGACAGATACCAAAAAACACAGCTGTCTTTATGCCACCATATTTCGTCTATTATGAAAAGAATCGCAGACAAGTTTTAACTGGTCAAACTTTTTCAACAGAGCTGGACTTGAAATAGTATTTTTTGTTCTTCTTGCTTTGCATCAGCTGGTGGCAATCCAAATGCTTAATATGCCAGGGCACAGATTTGGGAATTGTGCTGGGGTAAGACAAGCTAAGATAAAATGTCTTCAACTGTTTTTTTCTTTCTTTTTGATTACAGACCACCTGAATAGTTGTACTTTCGTCTTAAATACAAAGGCTTGCACTTAATTTATTCATCTCCCATAGTGTTCACGAAAACCCCTCATTTACCAAACATGAAACAGTGCACTTCTGTTGTGTGGCTCAAATAAAGGGAAGATTAAGTCTTTTCAAAACTGTATGTGAAACAAAAGATCCTAAATCCTTTTGTGCTTGTACCTTTTCCAATTTTTTTCAGACACTTCTCCCTGAATGCTTACTCTTACTGTCAGATGAAAACAAAGGCACAAAATGTAGCTCTTAAGCAGCACAGAGGAGACATTCTTCTTCTCTTTAAGAGTAGTTACATGAATGAGAAGGGAAGAAAATTGTGAGAATAAAAGTGAGTTTCTTTCATCCTTTTATGAGTTATTACATTTCGGATTACAGTCAAAATATATGATTCACTATTACAGGCGTTTGACAAATATGTGTTAACCATGTTTCACCGACGTCTTCTCAAGCACCTCCAATTAACAAATATGAAACTAAAACCAGGATTCATTATATTTTGTAATATAGTGCCTTGTGTTGTTCAAATACACTTACTGATCATATTTTAAGATATTTTTGTGTCTTTTGCCAGAACACTTAAAGGTGCATTATGTAACTTTTCTGATGGAAAATCCAGCCCGTTTGTCTCCATGGGGATCTTCTTGCTTTGCCTGGAATATTTCACAGTATGTCATTAAACCTGTATCTTAAATCTTGTATTTTTTAATTGCATGTGCATTTATAGCTCAAAACTACCTCTAAACTAACATGCGTTCTTATAGTAAGTGGGCTTGGACTGGTTGTGTCACTGGTTTTCTCCATCGAAATAGGTTAATGCCATACTGTGGAACATTTAAACACATTATCATCTATGCAGAAAGAACAAAAATGTGGCTGTTTGCTGCAGGTGTTCCAATCAATAGGAGCAAATAGAGGGTGCTCTTGGAAAAAAGGATCAAAACTCAAGACACAACAGATTCCAGGCACTCCAAAACAGTAGAAAAAGTTAAAACATCGCACGAGGAAAAATATAATTAAAAGGCCTTTATTTGAATGGCCAAAGCCAACATGTTTCGACCTTAACTGGTCTTCATCAGGGCTTAAGCCTTTTAATTATATTTTTCCTCGTGCGATGTGTTAACTTTTTCTACTGTTTTGGAGTGCCTGGAATCTGTTGTGTCTTGACATTATCATCTATGTTAAGCAGGTGGCCAACCCTTAGCACCCTTGTCGAGCAGATTAGTTGCACAGTGCACCTTTTATCAAGTGTATTTCTTTTGACTGCATTATTATGTAGGAGCAGTAGTAGTGCAGTAGCAGTAGAAACAGAGTGTACTCACCACAGTACTGAGTCCGTGCTCCTTCAGCAGCCTGAGGGAGTTCTGGTAGCAGGCGGTGAGGTCGCTGGTCTCACTGGGGCCCACATGACCTCTGGCCACTGGGCCTACGGTGTGGATCACATCTGAAAAGGGACAGCACAAAAGAGCTCAGTCTGACACAGTCCACTTCTGCAAGGTTACACAGGCAGCACGCTGGGGCCAGGGGAAGGACAGGTCTTTCTACAGTACAGTGTGAAGTCACTGTCAAGTCAAATTATACTTCTCAGAGTAGCTTTCCAGCAACATACTTTACTCCTATATGACTATATCTTAAAGTGTAACAGTACTCTTACTTGAGTAAAGGTTTTAGTTACTCCATTATGTAATGTTTATGCATATAGTTATCAACTGTATACTATTTCTACTGTGAAGCTCATTGGCATTAGCCTGAAACCGTCTGACCTCACAGCATTAGAAATTGTTCATTCAACGGTAGGCGGGTACTTTTTTATTTAAACAATCACTTCTATTTGACCGTGACGTATGTAATGCGGCGCTAACGGGCTAACTGGTATATCAAGCTTTTCCCAAATCCTGTAGGAAGAAGGGCAATAATGTCTTTCCCCTTGATAAAATTCACCAAACATTCTCTTTGTTCCAGCTTTAAATCTTCGATCTCAGAATTCGTTGCCAACACAGATTGTATGGCTCTTCGCTGATTGGCTGTTGCCCGGATTCACACTTCTGGGGTTCTTGCAAACTGTCTAGTGTATTCTGATTCCTGACGTAGTCACTGGAGAGAAATTAAATTGAGCAGAGGCATTAGGTGGTGCCAGCCTGGCTACATTGGCACACTCCTTGTTTTTAAATGTCTGTCCAAATAAAAACGGATTGACAACCAGAAGGTCCGTGGTTCGATCCACACAACGTACACTCTCATTTCTCCTCTTCCTCCAAGGTTACACTATGGGGTGAGGTAGGACAAGTGTTTTAGCATGTTACAACATAGAGCACAAAGTCATTGTCAAAGCCACAGAACGATAACGCCTGTATTCACAATGAGACAATGGGAAAGCATGAGTATTCCACTGTCTGAAATGAATGCATTTATTCAGTAAATGAAACGGCAGCTTAGATAGAAAATCAATTACAAGATTCTTTTATGCCATCTACTCAAATATTCATATCTCTCCTCGTCCTGTCTTTGCCCACGCATAGTAATGTCTGCGCCTGTCACTCAGCGCGCTCCTGTCGGCAGGCGCAGGCTCGGGAATGCACAGTCTTAATTGAATTATAGCAGCGATGACAGCAAAATAAGAGAATGTGGGCAGTGACTTGACAGAAACATAATCGGGTGTATTCTGCCAGAATAACCTTGGCCTTTCCTCATTGTTGGACAGCACAGGTCAGCACCATAATACAGCAGGGACATGTGCAACCTCCAGCTTTCACAAAGATAACAGCAGCCAAAAGTTTGTCTGCGCAACTTTGAGGTTCAGGTGGTACTAAGGTCCACTACTAAGCCTCTGGTTGGCAAACTGTGAGTGCTTTGTATAGTATAAAAAGAGGTAGATAAGAGTTTGGATGATTTTTAAAACATACACTGAGAAAAAATTGAAGTGAATAAAAAAAGCGAGTTCCTTTCATTCTTTTATGAGTTTCAGATTGCAGTCAAAATATAAGGTTTGCTAATAGTAGTTTGATAGATATGTGTTTACCATGTTATACCACTCAGTGTCTTCTCCAGAACTCTATCTGCCTCGACAGCAGTAACCTAGTTGGCTCTTCCAATTAATAAATATCAAACTAAAACCAGTATTAATTATATTTTATAACAGACTTTAAGGTATAGGTGTCACTAAGGCCCACTATTAGGCCGGAGTTTGGCAAACTGCAAAAGTGTTTGTGTAGTATAAAATGAGGTAGAAAGAGTTTGGAAAATCTTTAAAATATACAGTGAGAAAAGGGTGAAGTAACAAAGGACATATCATTGAGTTTCTGAGCTTCAGTGAGTAATTTCCCTTTTAAATAATTTCCCTTGTGGATTAATAAAGTTTTAATAAGTCTAAGTCTAAGTTGACATTATGTGATTACTGGGCCTGTAGTTAATATTTGGTTTTTAAATGTATTTAAAGCACTACCATGTAACATTTAAGCAAAAAAACAAAACAAAAACAAAACATAAAAACATAAAAATAACAGTGAGTTGTTTCAGAAACGAAAAAGCACGTCTTTGCAGTAGGCGGGCTTGCATCTCCAGACATTGGACTTTTTATTGGCCTGAAGGATGCTCTCTACTTTCTCTACTCTCCATTGGCTATAAAATTATTACAGTATTGCATAAAACTTATCCGTCTCCATGATGTTTCAAAGTTTGTATTCTGTTGCTTTAAATACAGCCCATCATCTGATAAGGTTTACCTTGCACAGTTAGTCAAAAACAAAACAATACATCTGTTCAATTATGTATGTTTTAAAACTGTGACTGTAGCTGAAAAGTTGAAAAAGCTATGCTATCTTCAAGGCCATATTTGTTTATTCTGATATTTGCTGTGTTGCTTCGACTGTATGCATTTATTTTTTGCAAGAACTCCAGACATTATTGATATATGTTTTTTTTTTTTTCTGTTAACTCAAAGCAAAGTGTTTCAAAGCAACTTTTCCATCCATTAGTCACTATTGGCAAACGCAGTTCACTCCTCATTAAATATAGATCAAGAATGTCTCATACATTTGGTATATTTAAAGCATCAAACTCCCACTTGCGTGCATTCCTACTCAACGGGATGAATCTGGAAAAATATCACATCTGATTGTGAGGCAGAGGAAAAATATCCCACTGTGTTTAAAATGCCCATATTGCACTATTTTCTGATCTATGTTAAAATATAGTTTCCTCATCACAAACATATCTGGAGTTGCGTTTTGTTTCATTCACACATGTTTAACACACAAACCCTGCATATTTAGGCTGAGTTCAAACCATAGACGGTCACCCACGGTGTTCAGTGACACTCAAATGAAGTTCACAATGCTAACGGTTACAGAGCGAGACTCTGTTGCGAAAAGGATTTTTTTGACAGTCAAAAAAGCAGGAAAAAAAACAAAAACAAAAAAAACACGATCATGTAGAGCGGGTTAATGCAAACATTTTAAGATCAAAATGATGAGGCTCAAAACAGCAGTTACAGAGAGAGTGGCCACAATATTCCAGTGTAAATCAATGGGAGCCAGGGTCAGAAGGAGCCGGAAGCACTGCATGCGAACTTCCTATTTGGAACATGGAAGCTAGGGCATTGGCTATGTCCATTTATATATCCAGTATATGGTCTCTGTTCTGTTGTCATGCTGTAATACGGGAAGTATTCTACTGTGTTTGTAAACTTCACTACATTTGGATGATTTCAGCCCTGGAATTTAGGAATTTCATAAAAGGAGCTGTTAACTTGAAAACTACCGCTTCATGACATCGCAAGGTGGAACAGAGCATTTTGAGCTATGGAGATGTAGACAGACGAATTATAAAGGATTGGTCAACATGTATGAATGATGATGTATGAAAAATCCCTCAGTCGTCCAGATAAAATCCTTGGTTCGGCCAAACAAAATTTTTGTCCAGTCGACAAACAGATCTCTCTCCTTTGTCATGTATGAATGAAACAAAACACAGCTCCAGGTCTGTTTTTGATGAGATTACAACATTCTAACTAGGCTTTAAGCTCAAAAGAGACAATTTAAGCATATGTGGAGCATATCTGGAGTTGTGTTTTGTTTCATTCACACATTTAAAACACAAACCCTGCAATTTTAGGCTGAGTTCTTCTCACAAACTGAAAACACCTACACTAGAATCATTTGGATGATTTCAGCCGTGGAAATGCCGAACTAAACTTAAAGCAAAAGGTAGCTGTTGAATGAAAACTCCCAATACATGACATCAGAAGGTGGAACAGAGCATTTTGAGGTTTAGTGATGTAGACAACCTAATAATGCAGGGTTACTCAATAGGTGTGAATGAAACAAAAGAACTCTGGGTATGTTTTTGAGGAGGTACTTGCATTCAAATATGACATAAAGCTCGAGAACATTTCGCATAATGTAAGACCTTTCAAATGTATTCTCTCTAGTGTTTTCTTACATCTAGCCACAGCATTTAGTTTAATACGAACCACTTAGCAACGCTTTTGAGCAGAATAAATGTAAGCCATATTATTCACCATAAATCATTCATGGGTTATATTTAGATGTCTCTTAATAGGTCAGCATGATAAAATAGTGTGAATCTAGTGAAGAGGTAGGACTACGAGAGGTTGGACTGTAACAAGTACGTCTCTAGCAATGTCTCTTACTTGAAGCAGTCGAGAATTGTAGTGCACAATGTGGTTATAATGGGACACGTGGTTCCGTTGTTTTTACTGCATAATGCATGAGCACTTCTTTCACTACAAGAACGGCAACATGCCAATTAGGAAAGTGGGCAAGCGCCAAACCCAGACTGCTATACTGGAGAATTCATGAAAGTTTAAACAGGCCTTATCTCACTAGTCTCTGCTCGCGAGATTCTTCAGCACGTTCACATCAAATAAATATTTATACAGCTGTGGTTCTGTAAAGGTGAAAGACATTTTTTACTGTGGAACTGAGGGGGGATAAATTACAACAAGAACTGTTAGCAGCCACGGCGTTTCGAAGCACGCTGACAGCCTCTGTGGGATCAACAAAAGTTAAACACAAATAACCTTCTATCCTTGCTTTAGTACAACTGGGAGTGCATATTTGTGCAAATTATAGAGCAAATAAAATACAATTATGCTGAACACCTTAGAAAACAATGCATATTCATTTTTGCCACTCAAGGACTATTCATTTAAAGGTGTACTGTGTAACTTTTTGGTTGCGGGTCTGTCACCTGCATGTTTCTATGTATACTTTTTTGCACAATATCACATTAAACAGCTCTACCATACATGTATTCAGTAACAAGTGGTTTTATGCCTCAAAAATACCCAGAAAAACAGGCATTCTGACCTGATCTGACCTGTATCTTTGTCTTGTTTTGGTCTCCATGAAGATAGAAAGGTTTAATACCATACTGTGAAACTTTCCAGACAAAACAATAACATCTCCACGAAGAAAAGCATTT